GCAGACTGCTTTTTACCACATTGGTGGTTCCTTAATGTAAACCTGAAACATAAACCTAACTCTTTTAAAACTTCTGCGTTACTCTGGTTCCTGCTGCTGTGATTGTGTACCTAAATAGGGTTTTACACACCTGGAAGGAATCCACTTAAGCTCTTTTCCTGCAGCCACGCAGGCGTAACCTCTCCCCCAAGTCATAAGATCTAGGGGTCCTGTCCATTGTCCCGAAATCAAATCCTTTACCATGACTAGTGGTTTGGGAGAGGCAAACGCCTGAGATTTGTGCTGCTTTTCGTACCTGCTTCTTTCAGCACTGTCACAGTTTAAAAAATTGATAACATATGTGGCTTTCCACAGATGTTCTTGCAGACTATACAGATTCTTCCCCTTTTTTTGTCTAGCTAACATTTCTTTCAGTGTGCTTTTTCTACAATTGCCTGTCCGGTAGGTGAGTGTGGGATTCCTGTGACATGTGAAATTCCCCACTCTGATAGGAAATTTCTTACCTTTTCTGAGATGTATGCCGGTCCGTTATCAGTCTTTATTTGTTTTGGGGTACCAAGGGTAGCAAAACAACTGAGCCAGTGTCTCATTACATCCTTGGTTTTCTCACCTGTGTGTGCTGTAGCAGTTATGTATTGTGAATGTGTGTCTACAGTTACATGTACATATTTTAATGTGCCAAATTTAGAGATGTGTGTGACATCTGTTTGCCAGATCTCATTTGCCATTAACCCTCTGGGGTTAATGCCTTCCTGAGATGGCATGGGTGTGATTTTCTGACAGTCTGGATATGTCATGATAATGTATCGAGTCTGATTAATCATCATTTTGAATTGCCTCTTTAGAGAGCGTGCATTCTGATGAAAAAATGAATGGGACAATTTTGCTTGCTCTAGGACCCTGGGTATTGTATTCAAACATTGCTGCTTTGTCAACCTCCTGGTTCCCTTCAGCTATTGACCCTGGCATATCAGTGTGAGATCTGGTGTGTATGATGTAGAAATCAAACTTTCTGTGATTGATAAGAACACAAATAGAATGCATTTCAAATAACAGATGAGGATTAGAGACATCTCGAAGAAACGAACATTCCAGACGTGAAACTAACCCTTCAGCATAACAAGAATCAGTAACAATATTAACAGGTTGTTCAGAAAATTTCCCCAAGGCAATACGAATGGCAGCCAGTTCCAGAACCTGCACAGAGCCTTGGTTCATGGTCTGTACCTCTCATTCCCATTGTCCTGTATTACGGTTTACCCAGGTCACTTCAGCCTTTTGTGTTCTCCCAGATGCATCTGTAAAGATTGTGAGACCTTTTACTGGTTCATGTCTGCATCTGGTCATGGTCCTTAAAGGTAAATTACCAATTTCTGCCCACAATCTGTGCTTAGGGAGATGGACCAAAATGTTACCATCAAAACTTGCCAAAGCAGCTTGGAATCCTGCGTCCTCAGCCAGCATCCAATCTAAATTGTCCTTCGTAGCTGGGATGTAGATGGTAGCAGGATCCCTTCTGTCTAGTTCCTGCAGTCGTCCTCTGTCTTTAATGAAAAGCTTAGCAAACATTTCATTAATGGTCCATACAGTCTTAGGTGGTGTGTGGGGCAGAAACAACCACTCCAGAATTAACAGCGGGTCTTTCTCAGTTTGATCCCACTGAAACAAGACTACAAATGGCTGGTACCTGCTGGGAACTAAGGCTAGGCAGATTTGCAGTTCAGGATTTCTCCTCCTGCCCTGCCTATTCTCTGTTGCCTTGGCACTAATGTCTAACGCCTGCTTTGCCTCTGCTGTCAAAGACCTGTTAGATGTTAGGCTGGAGTCCCCCCTTAGCAGCACAAATAGAGGGTGTAGCTCCTCTGTGGTTATGCCTAAAATAGGCCTTAACCAATTTATGGTTCCCAGGAGTTTTTGCAACTCATGTAAAGTTAAAGTGTCCTTTACCTCGAGCTGCAGTGGCTGTGGGGAAATTTCTTGCTGTGTAATCCTCCATCCAAGATAGGTCCAGGGCTGTGATCGCTGTATTTTCTCTGGCGCAACCTGCAACCCTGCTTCTTGGACAGCATCAGTCAGAGCAGTAACAACAATTTGCAGTTCATGTTCTGTGGCCATGCTAATTAAAATATCATCCATGTAGTGATAGATGATGGCAGAGGGAAAACGCTTTCTGATAGGATGAATAGCATTTGCCACTACTGTTTGACATATTGTAGGACTATTTTTCATCCCCTGAGGAAGGACAACCCAGTGATACCTTTGCATGGGCTGTGCATTGTTCAAGGCCGGGATGGAAAAGGTAAACCTTGGCGCATCCTCGGGGTGTAGGAAGATGGTAAAAAAGCAGTCCTTTAAATCAATTATTATTCGAGGACAATTTGCTGGGAGCATAGCGGGTGAAGGCAGTCCTGGTTGCAACGCTCCCATCGATTCTATGACTGCATTTACTGCCCTTAGGTCCTGTAGCATCCTCCATTTGCCACTTTTTTGGGGGATGCAAAACACAGGAGTATTCCAGGGACTGTTTGTTGGCACAATATGTCCTGCTTCTAACTGTTCTCTTACAAGTTTTTTTAAATGTTCAAGTCGTTCCCTTTTCATAGGCCATTGGTCTACCCAGACCGGCTGGTCACTTTTCCAGACCAGCTTAATCGGTGCTTGGGACGGTTGACCAATGGCCCCTATTGAAAAACCTGGCTGCTTGCAGGAGGAATTTGCATGACTGTGTTGAACTGCCTGAGAACGTCCCTCCCCCACAGTGTACACGGAATGGGAGCAACAAAAGGAGCTACTTTGGCTATTTGTCCCTCTGGTCCCAAGACAGTGAGTACTTGGGCACTCTGTCTGGGTCTTTGTGTGCCTCCCACCCCCTGAATGGTTGCAACTGGGCAAACAGTGGGCCAGTCAAGTGGCCATTCGGAGTCCTTTATGATGGAAACATCAGCTCCCAAGTCCACAAGGCCTGTAAATCTGTGCCCATCAACTTGGCACATCATGAGCGGCTGTGTGGTTGTGATGGTTGCTGCCCAGTAAACTTGTGGATGTCCTGTGCTACCAAAGGCCCCTGAACCCCGTTCCCTCTCCCCCTTCCCCCATAGGCGACGCACTGTAGAAGGGGATTAGTTGAGCGATTTTCTGTCCCTTTGTAATGAAACAGGGGGGTGAAGGGGTCCAGGTCATTATTAGAATCTCACTATGAGAATCTGAGTCTATCACTCCAGGCAGCACAAATAGACCCATTCTGGTAGTGGAGGACCTTCCAATCAGTAGTGCGTGTACCCCTGGGCTAAGGGGACCCCAATGCCCAGTCGGGATTAGCACTACCTCTGTGGAAGTTATGAAGACTGAGTCCCAGTTGGATAAGTCCAGCCCAGCACTGGCTGAGGTGGAGGGGCACAAAGCGCTGGCTGAGGTGGGGGGTCACAAATTGCCAACCTCTTCCCTTGTGTCACATTTGTTTGTTGCACTGGGGCGTGCGACAGCACCCCTCGCCTCCAGTTTTTTGGCACCCTCCTTGCTTTTTGGTGCTTGAGGGGTGCCACTGCTAGGGGTTTCCTAGGACAATCTCTTTGAAAGTGGTCGGGGGCACCACAAATGTAACAAGCACTTCTGGGTCTGGCTCCCTCCTGTGCTCTTAATTGGGCACTCAGTGCTACTGCCAGTAAATCAGTCTGATGTGCCATTGAGCCAACCCCTTGACAGGCATGAACCAGTTCTGCAATGTTACAGCTCTCCCTTTTAGGAAGGGTCTGTAGAATTCTTTTACAGTCAGGGTTCGCATTTTCAAAAGTCAGTTGCCTGCTAAGTATTTCTCTGGTTTCCTCGTTTTCAATCTGCCTATCTAAGGCAGATTGCAGCCGATCTAAGAATTGGGTGTATGGTTCTGTTGGGTCTTGCATTATTTTTGTAAATGATAAATTGGTATCTCTGTCTGATGTGGGTAATTTCCTCATAGCCCGCATTGCGTGTTTAGCTATTACCTCATATACTTCCCTATTGTACCCAGTTTGAGAGTCTATTACCTCATATACTTCCCTATTGTACCCAGTTTGAGAGTCTATTGAACAGTAATTACCCTCCCTGGTGAGTTGATGTGCTGTTACACCTGCCTGTGGGTCATTGGCATAAGCAGAGCAATTCTCCCTAAAATCGTTCAGCCACACATTGTACTGGGTGTTAGTAAGACTTATTTTTAGTAGAGTTCTCCAATCGTGTGGCATAAAAATGTAGGTGGAGCTCAGTGTCTCTAAAAATGCAAGGGTGTTAGCTGAGGATACGCCAGTTTCCCTTATTAGTTGTCTCAGTTCTTTTGTTAGTTCGTGTGGTAAAGGTTGGAATCGACGGTTCTGACGTGGGTCAATAATGACGGGGCATGCATTTATTACTTGCAAGTCTCCCACTAGTAATGTCTCATCTCTACACAAACCCCACCTATCAACCGATCCTTCCCCGTTTGCTACCTCGCTCCCTCCCGGCAGAACCATCCCAGATTCCTCCTCCTCATCCCCCCATTTCTCCCCCCCTGTGGCCCCAGTGAACCCGGTTCCCTGTGGGGGGGTGGTGGTGGGTGGTGGAGGGGGTGCGTGGGCGGGGTTATCTCCCCCATTGTGCCTATGGGTGGGACGGGGCAGTGCTGGGGCCGGAAGAGATGGGTCAGTTTCCGGTCCATGTGGCAGGCAAGATGGTGGCACCCATGCCTGGCCATGTGACCGGCGATCATCCGCGGTGCGGGGTGGCAAATATGCTGGGTTACCCCCCCCATCGCTATTACGGGGCCCTCTGCACTGGTCCCACGGGCTGGGATCTTGCATCACAGACCCTGTCCCCTCCCATCGACCTGCGTCCCTTTGGGCCCCAGTTTCTGACCCAATACTTAAGTCACGGACAGCTCCTCTCCTTCCCCGTCCGGACTTTGTGTGTTTGAGCTCCTACGCCCAGAAGTTGCCAGCAGCATGAGCGGGGGGGTGTGTGTTGGTGTTGGATGCATGTGTTGTCCGTTTGTGTGCTCTGCTTAGTGCAGACATTATGACTTGCCAGGTTGGAAAAGCATTGTTAGCTTGGGGGTCTCCCCCCTGGGCTTTTAGTTTTATAAGGTTCCCTATTTTGTCCCATATTTCTATGTGAAGGGCTTCAACTAATGGCAGTTCAGGTACAGCTGCCTTAATAAAGCATACCAATTCTGTTAGTTCAGTCCTTGTAGCTTGTATGTGATATGGTTTTAGCAGGATAGCCAGTGCATCTGTGTCCTGTGATATTTCAGTGGGGAAAAAATTTCCCATTTTACCTTCAGTCTCGGCGCTGTAGATGTGCGCTGCTGGAAAGCCTTTGTCTATTTGTTGGCTTCTCCTGGTTCTCAGTCGACTGGGTCCGCGTGGTCGGCAGTCAGGCTCGGGGGGGGGCTTTTAAGCGTGGCGCGGAGCCGGCAGGGGCGGCAGGTGTGGCGGTGAGCTGCAGCAGTTTCTGCTAGGCAGAAACCGATGTGGGCTTCGCGGGGTCTGGCGGTGGCGTTGAGGGTGTTAGAAGGCAGCAGTGGCAGAGCCACTTTACGCACACGGTCGAGCCGTGGCAAGCGGCAGGTAGCGGGGCTTCCCCGGTGGTTTTAAGGTGCTCCGCCGCCCAGGTCTCCGAGCTGCGGGCACAGCACCGCTTAGGGAAAAGTCCTTGCCACATGAGATGCTGGCACTGCCTCTCAGCGTGACTCACTGCTCTGGTTGGACTCCGTTCCGCTCCCTCTGGCCACCTCGATCTGTCAGTTTTTTCTTTTCTTCTTTCTTCTTTTCCTGTGCACTATCCCTAATATTTTTGGAGCTCACTAAACTAGGATTGCGCTTCTCAGGCGCTCTGAGACAACAACTTAAAGACGTCTGTGTTTTTTTCGGTGAAAATTCCCATCTCGAGAGAATTGAGACAATACCGGAATTACTGATTTTTTTGCCTGATTCAGGATATGCTAAACTGACTTAATATAAGTTCAAAGTCCCAAGTTCAGGTGCACCATATGTAGGGTGCGCATGCCTTATATAATAAGGAATAAAAACGCTCCTCGTGAGATGATGAACAAAGAGGATTTATTTCAAACTCAATCAATCCCACAATGGATTAATGGATTAGTACATGTCCAGGAGACGCCCAGGCACCTCCCCGAGGGTGGGGGGAAGCTTTGCAGTGTCTTGCAACAGGCTCTGTATTTGTTGCACCACTTGGATCACGTGCAGTCCTCTGGTGGTGGAAGGCCTCAGGAATGAGTCTGGGGGGTGCTTTGGGGGTCTTTGATGGTTTATGACCCCTTCTCAGCTGCCTCTCATGTGAATGTCCCATGTGTATGTGGTCTTCCTGGAGGGGGGGGTTTACTCCCGTTTTGTGTGGAGAGATTTTGCCATCACACACCCAAAACCCTTATCTTCCTCCACTGATGAGGCCAGCTAGGCTTGATTCTTAACACAGATACATTCTTCTTTCCTGAGCCTTGTTTACTTCTCCTTAGACATGAGGTAATTTATCGGCGGAGAGGCTCGGACAGAATTGCACACGAATCAATATGATTGGCAAAAATGTCCCCTTTATTAGAGGAAAGGCAGCTTATATGCTGCCCGTGGCACAGAGACATGTGACTCTTCCCCAGGCCACATTGGATACATAAGGAAAACATACTGTGGTGTACAGTACTAATTGGATAACAGTAGGTGTCCATAAAACTTGTTTTCCTGACAGAACAACTCCTCCTTCACCTTGGCACAAGGCCTGCAGCCATATTAGTGTCGCAGTATCTTTTTACTGTCTGCACCAAGCCATGCCAAGGTGAAGGTCTCAGAAATGCAATAGAAATTGTTCACACAATTTCTGTCCTCCGACAAATGCCCCGTTGGAGTTTGAACAATTTAAATTGCATTTCTGTAACATTCCTTATTGTACCCATAACATTTGAATCAACGCAGACATGCAATAACACTACTATCATTACTAAACTTAACTTATTGACCCCAAGATGTGTATTCTGAAAGTGTGCCTAAAAGTGAGGGTTGATTCTTAAAACTTCCACTCCGGCCAGAAAATCCTTGGAAATGGAACTCCATTAAACTCTGGGCCATATGTCTTCTATTGTTCTCTTTCACACCTTTGCCCTTAAACAACACAATGACATAATCATATATTAACACTGGATCTTCTGTTTCTGTTGCACTCTTTGCATACCATTCTATTGCAGCCCGGAGAGTGTGTTTCAGGATTTTTTGCCATTTTATGTAAAAGTATCGGTGTATTTGTTTATTCAAAAATGTTTATGTATGTGTAAGTGAATAATCACACATATACATGCGTACATTTTCATTCGTTCACTTTCACACTGTGGCCACCATCATTCAAACACGCTTCACACAAACATACTTTTGAATCTCATTTCACTGTGTCTCATGAAGTACGAGACCATACTAATTCTCTAGTACATTTTGGTGTGAAGGCTTCTCCATCAGACAGGAAAACTTTCCTCCACCAGTACTCAGTGAATAATCTAAGATCTTTACCTTCTATAATTATATGCTTAAACATACTGACAAATTGTGCTCCAGCAAAACTAAAAATACTGTGTTTTAACAACACTAAAATGTGCACATAATGCTGAAAAACTGTGCTCTTGTAATACTTACTTTAAAGTTCGTACAATACACTCTCTTGAATCCTTAATGTCATGTGCTTAAAAAATATACTAAAAGGTGTATATGACTAAGAAAAACTGTGCTTATAATACTAAAAAGAACTGTGCTCCAAAAACTATGTTCTAACAATATTGAGGAAACTGTTAGCCACAACAGCTCCTGATGTTACCATTGTTACCCGCAGAAAACAGCATCAACCTTGTTTTCTTTCCAAGGTTTCATTCATCATGCAGGCAGCTATGAACACCTGTGTAAAAAAAAAAACCTCAACATATGAAACAACTTTTGCAAATGAACTGAGGGGGCTGCCACCTGTTCTTTCCCCGTTTCTGTCTTGCAAAAGTGTTGTACAAATTCTTAAAGCACTGACCTCTATACCAAAGACATAGTATTGTCTGGCAATTTGGTAGTAGTTTTCAAAGTATACAAGTAATCCACCCTTTTAAAGTTTTTCTAGTTTGGACACGATATAGAATTTTACCTCAAAATTGGTATGTCACAATCACATATAATTTTGGGTAGACTCGTAACCCAAAAGGTTTTTGTCATATGCCGATTCCAAATAAACCCTGCTACCCGCTGTAACACTACTGGGATGAAACACATACAAAGACGAGCACCGCAAGATAATCAACGTCTGATGTAGAATTCCCAAACCACACCAGTCTGTCCGATTTTCACAAACATCACTAGTGTGACATGAACAGCACAGAAAACAAACCATTGTATACAGTGACAACCATTAGACCTCAGGATGTTAAACTACTATACCAATGCCCCAAAAGGAACCCTGTGATCTGCAAAAATAAAGAATTAGACAATTTAGCAATGATCAATTAGTGAAACAAATTGAGAATATAAAACCTGCTCTACTTGCTGGATGGTTTGAACTGCTCTTTTAGTCAGTTCCCCTGGTTTCCGAGGATTGTCAGAATGTTTGAGTAGGTCAAATAGAGGTGCCAGCTAGGTGTTTGCCAATTCCAAATAGGACCTAATCCAATTGAAAGACCCTCATAGCTTTTGTACATCAGTAAGAATTCTTGACATCAATATCCAATTGAACTGGCTGAGGAATAACTGCTTTCCGTGTAATTTTTGAACCCTAAATATGTCCAGGGTTCCTCTCGCTGCACCTTCTCAGGAGCAACTACTAGGCCAAAGGATTGTAGACTCGTTCTGGTTTCAGCTTCCAACACACTCAACTGATCCTCAGTGGCCACAGCCAGCAGAAATATTACCTATATAATGACAACAAAAGACAGTCAGAAAATTGCAGGAGACAATGTTGGAATCATAAACCACCGACAAATTGTAGGAATATTTTCATTTCTTGGGAGAGGGTTTTCTATGTATAACACCTGTAAGGTTCTGCACAATTAATAGATGGAACTGAAAATGCGATTTTTTCTTCTCTACAACTGGGGTCTAACTGGATTGTGAAAAAACAACCTGTGAAATTAATAATAACAATGGGTTATTCAGCAGAAAGCATAGAGGGGGTCAGTAAACCAATGCTGTAATGGTAACCATGACCGCACCACCCGTCTGAGATCATACAACAGTCTTCACTTTCCAGATTTTTTCTGTATGACAAAAATTGGGGTATTCCAAGGACTGTGAGATGGCTCAATGTGATCAGCTTCAAGCTGCTCCTTAACAAGCTGTTGCAGGGCCAACAGCTATTCTGAAGGTATGAGCCACTGCTGAAATCACACAGGATCTATATATTCTAAAAGAAAATTCTGAGCAGTACCTCCTAGTCTCACAACCCAAACCCCTGGCGTGTCCACAGGCCAGGAGGCCGGCCAGGATGTCCGTGCAATGATAGTTACGTCAGGTCCCAAATGCAGAAGTTCGTCCGCTTGGACAACTGACAGCAAGCTTCAAGTATCGTAGAGAGTGCAGGTCAGCTGTGGACGTTGTGCAGAGATTGGCACTGACCAAAAGACTTGTGGTGCATCAGTAGAACCAAATCCTCCATCCCGACGCTCACGAGGCTCTGCTTGGGGAACACAACTCAGAAAAGGTACAAATTGAGCTATTCGTGTCCCTTTAGGAATTGTCAGTGGAGGATAAGGTGTGGAGACCATAGCACAAATCTGCCTCGTATAGTTAGCATCAATGACTGCAACATGAACAAAAAATCCCAAAATCTCACAATTGTGTTACTAGAATGGCTGATTAACAAGGCACTTAACCCACGCTGCCTTCGTACAATGCTAAACACCCACCAGTCAAATTATGTGATCAATACGTCTGGTATAGAACAAGCAGTAGTCACAAGCATTGAGGACATTTTTCTGAAAACACAGCTGCCACAGGCAGGGCACATCCCAAGGATGAAGGACTAGATGTTTCACGATGAATATTGCCACCAGCTGCCGCACGAAAGAAGCCCCGAAAAGAAGACACAAGGACTCCCTGAAATGACATCGCAGCCCTGGCCACATGGATCAACATAACTGGTGTACTCTGGTCTCCAATCAGGAGGCCTAGAGACACACTATCTGTAGCGCTGTTGATGCTTCTGAGAAAGGACGCAGGATGGCCCTGACAGTCTGCAGGGCCCCCCCACAACAGGCTGATCAAGCAGGGCAGCAACATCGACAAACCTTGATTTAAACCCTCGAAAACACAGAAAGGTCAAAGGACTCTGCCTTCTGCACGGCCCACAAGCTACAGCTCATGGACAGCATGACACATGAAAAAGGAACAGCACCGGGGGAAAGGCTCCACCTGAGATTAAACCTCTATAAGCCTCTGAAACAAGGCTGAAATAGAACACCGAATTTGTGTAAGAATCTCTTATTTAACTTCAGTTTTAATCATATGGCTAGTCAAACAGGGCTAGTCTTGAAGACAGGGCTTAGTTTTAGCTTTTACCTTTAACACTGCTGCAAGAACAACTTGGTAGCACACAATTCAGGAAAGTTTGTCTCCAAATCTTGGCTAAATCCATAATACAAATATAATCATATTATAACTTTCTATGTTGGAGAAAAATGCAAGTTGTGAGTCCAACTCTGATCCTTGCTTGCTAGCAATATAATACCACATACAAAAAGAATAAGTGGAAAGACCTTGTCGGTGACAGAGATTTCCCCAACTCCGGAGTAGTAGATTCAGGGATCTAGAGAGATATTTCACCTAAGAATTAAGGAAATTCCCAGCCTGCTAGCTTTCCACTCAGCCTACTTGCAAATTTGCAGTTTTTGTAAGGTAATTTCTACTCTCTCCCTATATCTGAGAAACTGCTGGAGGTGGTTTGAGTCCCACCCAGGTGCTAAGCAACAAATGATCTCTATTGTGTGAACCTTTTGTCTCCTCCTGCTAAGGTTGAACACGAGATTTGGGCAAAGGTTTTTACAGGGGTAAAATGTAACTAAAAACAAGGTAATTCACTAAAGCTTTTATATAAAGATTCATTCCCTGGGAAACTCTTAAAATTTCTTGCATGCTAACTTTTAGTAAAAACACAATCTTTCAATTTTAAGTCATCTACAAGTGAGTAGAAGGACTAAAGAGAGAGATTCTGCTTTCTATTCTCAATTACTGTCATGTCCGGATTCTCCAGGGCTACTCCCCCGCAAGCCAGTCACCGCCGAGCTGCTGTTCCCCGGGCCGCCCCTCACGCCGTGCAGCTCCCGGGGATCCCCGCAGAAGTCTGGCTGGCTCTGCAGAAGTAGCTGTCGGCGTTGCCTCTGTCGCTGAGGTGCCTCTGTCGCCTCTTGCTGTGGCTGCCAGCGCCGGTACGCCGGACTCTGGCAGCTGTTTGAATAATCCTGGAAACGCGTGTCCTCTTTTTTTTTTTTTTTTTTTTTTTTTTTTTTTCCGAAAACAGCGTCCGTTGCCAAGGCAGCGAGCCACAGTGGCTGCATTCCGGGTTTCATGGAGGCCTCAGGCGCCAGCGATGCAGCGCCATTTAGCGACGCGGAGGCTCCTGGCAGCGTCGTTCCAGGTGACACATGCGCAGTAGCAGGCACAGTGAAGAGTGACACTGCCGACTGCGCAGCCGCAGTAGAGAGCGCTGTCGCTGGCACGGCTCCAACTTTAGTCTCCGCCGCTACTGATATTCCTGCAGCCTCTACACGTCCTGCTGCTACAGACACGGTGCTAAACAGAGGTGATCCCGCTGCTGTTAAGCTTCCTAGCATTCGCAACTTCGCAGCCGCAGGCACGGGGATCTCCCCTACAACGGACCGACCAGGGCAGGGACTTGCCGTAGTCCCGCCGTCTCCCGACAGAGTTGTTTGAACATTTATGAGGTCCCGTCGCTCAGAACTTAAGTCTTGTAGCGACTCAACTGCCAGACGCCCAACCATAGTACACTTTCTAGCGTCTCCCGATCCCGCAGAGATCTTGTCCCAAAACAATTCCTTTATAGTGTCCCTTGTGGACACCTGAAAGGCGGTGTGAGCAGTGAGAAGTAGATTCCTCGCTCTCACCCAGTGCATTAACCCCTTAGGGGCTTTTTCATCAGAAACAGGCTCTCCTAGAGAGAATATATATCGGAGGAGCGTTTCCACGGCCTCATCCCCTTTGGATGCCGCGGGCCCCATGCTCTCTCCCTCGGTCGACTCACCGGGCCAGGGTAAGATTTCCTCGGTGCCGTGCGCACGGCCTTTACTACAGCGCCGGGGACAGCGCTGCCTTCACGACCGCTTCCCTCAGCTCCTTCATCCGCCTTACGTCCCAACAGAACTCGGCGAAGTAGAACTCCCTGTTAAACGGGCGCCAGGTATCGGCGGAGAGGCTCGGACAGAATTGCACACGAATCAATATGATTGGCAAAAATGTCAGCTTTATTAGAGGAAAGGCAGCTTATATGCTGCCCGTGGCACAGAGACATGTGACTCTTCCCCAGGCCACATTGGATACATAAGGAAAACATACTGTGGTGTACAGTACTAATTGGATAACAGTAGGTGTCCATAAAACTTGTTTTCCTGACAGAACAACTCCTCCTTCACCTTGGCACAAGGCCTGCAGCCATATTAGTGTCGCAGTATCTTTTTACTGTCTGCACCAAGCCATGCCAAGGTGAAGGTCTCAGAAATGCAATAGAAATTGTTCACACAATTTCTGTCCTCCGACAGTAATTAGACAAAAGTCTTATCTCAAGTTCCCATCACAGTCCAAATTCCAGTCAGGAGGCATATTGAGGGGGGGTGTGCTTCGGTGGTCGCAGACAGGCAGTTGTTTCCTTACAGTTTGACAGAAAATCTTTCTATGATTTTGACAATATTTAAGACATTAACAACATTTCAGTCTATCACAATTGTTAAATGCTAGGTGTCCCTGGTCGTGCCCACCAGGTATCGGGCTCTGCACAAAAGCAGGACAAAAACAGAATCCCTTCCCTGCAAGGAACTTAGCATGTCTTGGAGTGTTTTGTCCCATGGGAGAGTTGCTTGGGATTGAGGGCAAGCATGGTGTTCAGGAAGGTTCTTCAAAGGCAAGAACCAGCATGTCCAGAGCACCCAGTCCCTGAGCACACACACAGGATCTCAGTCCATTTGGCCATATGGGATGGTCTGCATCACAGGGTAAATGTCTCAAGTGCCATTGGGGATGTATAGAATCACAGAATTGTTTAAGCTAAAAAATACCTCTAAGATCATTGAGTTTAACCATGAACCCAGCACTGCCAAGCCCACCACTAAACCATGTTCCTAAGTGCCACATCCACACATCTTTTAAACCCCTCCAGAGATGGTGACTCCACCAATGCCCTGGGCAGCCTGTTTCAATGCTTGACAACCCTTTCAGGGAAGACATTTTCCCTAACATTATATCTAAACCTTACCTGGCTCAACTTGAGGCCATTTTCTCTTGCCCTGTTGCCTGTTGCTTAGGAGAAGAGACTGACCCACCCATATGGCTACAACCTCCTTTTAGGTAGTTGTAGAGAGCAAGAAGATCTCTCCCAAGCCTCCTTTTTATCCAGGTTGAACACCCCCAGCTCCCTCAGCTGTTTCTCATCAGACTAGCACTCTAATGTAGCTCCTTACCTCTCAGTGATTTAAAGAATTGCCTAACCAAATCTCCATGTAACCACCAGGATAATGCAACCCCGCATTGTCCTCCAGCTCTCCACATGCCAGACAAATGGTGGGGGCTCTCGGAGGACTTTTCTCGCTTGGGGGTTGTTGTAGTTTTAGTTAAATGGGAAGGATTTTTAGTGATTTTTTTCATACTACCACGTAATTCAGAGAGTGAGGGACCACCTCCTCATCTGAGCTGGTTTGGGGAAGACCCAAAGCATCTCAGGATGCTTTGGTCCCCCAGCATCTCGGGACCTGCCAGAAAGGCGGGTCCCTGGAGTGAAACATCCCAGGAACTTGGGAGACAGGAGATAAAAAGGCAGGCACAGGCCTGAACTCTCTGTCTTGGTACCTGGTGTTTGCTTGCTGGAGCACTGCAGACCCTTGGAGCCTCTTCCGGAGGATCGCTCTGCCTCAGCTGTGATGTTTTCCATCTTAGCCACAGCTGTTGTTCACATCAGACCAAGCCCACCCCAGCCCCAGCTGAGCTGTCCTGGCACAACCAGCCACTGCCACCAGCTTGGAGATTCCCCTCTCAGGAGCTGCACAAAGCACCGCTGCCCCATGGCCTGAGACTGCCCAGCCCCAGAACTGTGCCAGTGTCAGCCTGACCCCGCCATTGTCACTTCACATGGCTTACTACGTCAGAACCCACACCACCACCTCGGCAGCATAGGACTTTCCTTCAGATGAAATATCCTTCCAGGTTTTGTGTTAACCTAAGGGGGAGAGGGTAGCTATGTAATATTTGTTATGACCTGCCCCAGAAGGGGAGGATAACCCAGGTTCTTTTTAATAAATCCCTTGGAGTGGATTAGAGTGAAACGACACTGAATAATTGGTGTTTGTAAATATATATATGTAGGGTTTATTTTAGAACAATTTTGTTTCGAAGGAAAACGTGTGTATAGCCATTTGGGTTGTTATCTATAGTAATACAGCAATATTAAAGCATAAAAAAAAC